ATGAGATATCCTAATAAAGTTTATCAGCACATTTTTTTATTGGTACCTATTAAACATACTTAGTTTAATTAGTATTCTTCCTTTTATTTGTAACACAATTTTCTAGTGGTCTTAAGTGAGCGATGTTTTGTTGTGTCATAGTTTAACTAAAACACTAGAATGCTAACTTATCAATTTAATATTTGGCCTACTTTTTACTAAATTGCATTTACAGTTTATTTTTTAATTAGTAATTTTGTTTGAAATATGATATTAAAGCCGAGCGTGTGTAATATATTATATTGTTATGGTATTTAAATACTTATTCAAAATATTATTTAGTTTTAATAAACTGATACAATATGTTAAGTGGTATATATTCATTGATGATAATATGTACCTATATATTTACTCAAATAAATACTAATAAAATACTCACAGGCCATGGTAAAATTGAATCAATTCGTCAACACTCGTAACAATATGTACAAATACAAATACTCTGTTCAAGTACATAAAAAGTTCTATGAACTGCAATACTGTTTTATTAATTATTATAACAAACGAGCACCTATACTAGGGCGCATTAAAACTATACTTAAATAATAAAATACTAGTCGCTCTATTTTCAGATACATTTTACAAGTACATATATTTACAATCGCCATTTAACTAACAACAACCGACCTGAATCCAATATCAGTAATAGATAAAATATAGGTCCATTTATGTATACACATCATTTATCCATACTAAAATAATTGTTAACTTATCACAACACTAAATAGGAACAGTTGCATAAAAAGTTTTAAGGGTCTGATAGTCAAATAATAAGGATGAAGTTGTATAGCAATAGATTAAAATAATCAGTAAAAAATATAATATTAATGCAGATATATTACCGTGGTATTTAGCGATGTAGAACTTTCAATTGTTGATGACCAATTGTTTAAATTGTATAAAATAATAAAATTGAGAAAATACTCATTGAATACTATAAGTGGATGTACAATTTTTACATGCAAGTTTTTTTAATCATATAATACATACTTGTATAGTATATTAATTAATTTGTGAAGTAATAATAATGATAATAATGCAATTGATAACCGTGGTTGAGAAAATCTGATGTGTAACAATGGAACTGTTATATAATTTTTTAACTAACAAAAACTATAAAATAATATACATGTAAAGATAAAATATCTTAATCATCAACAAATATCAATGGCAATACGTTTTCCGTTCATCGGGTAGTTATTGTTGTTTATTGGGAAATATGCTTAATTGTATTTAATGAACGTAAAAGCTTTTATTAACCATGTTTTAAACTTGGAACTCAACTTCTATACTATGTACCTACTGCAAAGATACATACAATAATGCTTAATCATCGATAATAATATAATGATAATTCGTAAACAATTCTATCACTATATTGTATTATGAAAACTAATTAATATTGACATGAAGAAGAACAATAACAAATCACGTCTTATGTACTATTGAATGTCATGTTGATAAACGATTTCAACGATAGTTGAACTTTTAATACTAAATATGTATATAATATATATGTTAAAATCCAACCTTATTCGAAGACAATGATCTCTTGACAGACACAATACTTAGAGAGAATAGGACTCCAACTAACCACGGCCAACTATGAGACTCATAAAAGTGTGATTTTTATTGTTCATTTAAAATCATATCCAACGTATGTAAGCTATTCTGCTTTTACGCACACAAGTTTCCTTAACAATACATGTCCACTCGTTCCTTGGATTTTCATAGATTAGATACGTAGAGGGATTTCGTATTTTAAAAGATAAAACAATTTTTTTTTTTATTCTTTTTTTTTGATTGAAGATAGATGATAATACATATTTAAAAGTTTCGTTTGTATAATACCTCATAAAGTTACTGTAGAATATTTCATAATTTTTTGGTTCCGAAAAGTTGTATGGGTGTGGCTAAAAATCGGTAGTTCACATTACCCTTATTATTTCTACATTTTAACTACGAATTATGTGTCTATATAATACAATATATAATAATAACACGTTATAAAACATATATTTAACGATAAATAGCCCTTGATATATTTAATACGAAATATTTCGAAATGAAGCTTTAAGATTTAATTCAAATTATTTCAATGTACGAATAGAATATAAAAGCTCTAATCTTTTAAAAAATAAAATATATTTTTAAATAAATAATATAATAAAGTAACTGCATAATATTATTAGGTACGTTAAATATCACATTAAAATATAACACAAACGAATTAATATCTCAATAAATGCGTTTCGTCCAAAACTGTAGAGGTCAAAGTAATTTTTTAAAAAAATGAATAATAGTTCTTTTGAAAATAAAATATTTATTTTCTTAAAAATATTACCTGTATCTTTAAGCGTATTTAAAAAATAAAATAATAAAATAAATTAAAAAAAAAATAAAAACCATAATTCTTATAATACTTTAAAGTAATAAAACAATAATTTTTCATCAGGTTTAATTCTTCATAATTCTATATAATTTTATTTATTAACAAAATTGTAGTAATAACTTGAAAAAATATAAGATAATAAACAAATTCAATGGTACGGAAATAAGTCTACAACATTTCAGTAGATGTAACTTAAATTTAAATATATTTACATGCCTAAGAATTACAGAAGACCCTTTGCAAATGTATTAAAATATTCCCGGATTATTGTGGAAACAATAATTAAAATGTTAAAGAAATGAGAAGAGTAAAAAAATAATTATTAATTAATATGAAACTAATTGACTTTTATTTGTCACATAATACGAGTGTACTTCCGAACTACTCAACTGTAACAAAAAGCTCAACTGTGGTTGAAATTAAACATAAAACAACTTACGTTTACTAAATTTAAAATACAGTTCTTTTGACCTTCGTTATCAAAATATAGTTTTCCAAAGATTTCGCAAAAAATTCACCATAGTTGTCTAATCAGTATTTCTGTTTACTATTTCAATCTTGTTAATTCAAACTTAATTATAAATATCTGTGTTATAACTGAAAAACAGTTTTTAGTAACTAATCAATAAGACTTTTGCCACCGTATCAAATATTCTATTAAAGAGATTGATGCTGTCACTTAACGTTCTTTAATATAAAATACATATATTAATTGTACCTATGTATTTATCTGTGCTGTGATAATGATTGATGTTTGCAACTTTTTTTTTTATAAGGGTCGGGGCTGTAAAAATCGATTTTTGTTCCTACATCTATACCTATCGCATTAACGATGGATTTATTATTTTGAAAATATACTTCATTTTTTGTTATGTATTGTTTAAAATTAAGTTCAGTACTCAACCATTTTGATTTAATAAAAAATTCAAATGTTTACCAACGGTTAACAAACAGGATAAAAAAGTTAAAATGAAAGAAAAATAAACACCAATTGGAAAAACTATTATCAAGAAAATATTACACAAATAATTAAATTAAATTTATTTTAAATATTTATCGTATTATTATACATAGATTGAATGAAGCTGATGATTACAAGTTTGAATGAAAATTAATTGTTCTTTCGTTGTTTATAACATTGAAATTTACATATCCTCCATTACATTATGATTTAATGACCGTATTTTTTTAAACGGCAATATTGATCTTCCTGAACATCTATTAAGTTTTATTTTTACAGTCTCTCGACGTATTTCACGTTCTTTAATTACATTTCATATACTTCAATCAAGTATATTATTACAAGTATGTGTGTAAATGCATTATCCGTATAGAAATGTTTTATAGAAATGCTTCATAGAAATTTAATAATATTCACATTCAATTATTTTTAAACCCAAAATCATAATAACTTCTAGTCGTTCGACGTCGACGATATCTTTTAGTTGCAATAAATGCAATTGCAAATGTAAACATATTGTATATATTATACATGCACTTAGCAAACAATTTTTGGAAAATTTTAAACTTTGAAAGTGATACGTTGAAACGGAAATAAACACTGCTTCGTATTTTTATCAATCGATACATAATTATTTTTTAATATTATTGATTCGGTATGTCTAAACAATATAACGTTGGCTTTATGAATATTTTGCTGTTGCAGTTTGATGTAAATAGTACATCAGCAATGACCGTATAAGCCAAATAAGTATTTTAAATAGTTTCAACGGTATTAGGTTGGTTGTTCGTGTATGAAATAAATTTATCAAAAACAGGGATGTCTGTCTAATAGTAGCAAGATAAGGAACAAAATACATGTTGCCAAATATATAGTGGTTAGTTGTCTTATCTTGTTGGTGTTTTGCCCAATGGTCTACTTGTTTGGACTTATAACGGCGTATGGGATCAAATTAAAGTATAATTAACCAAATAAAACAGTAGTACAAATCGGTATAGGTTTAGAGCAAAATAAAGGAATATTTTGTTAAGTCAATTCAAAATTATTTGATGATTTTAATCTATCAATTTAAAAATACATCGTTTCACAAATGTTTTAAACATGCATTAATTGTCTTGAGCTTATCACTGAACTTGTCAATTGAAACAGTTGTACTTGAAAAGTAAATAATCGGAGAACATTTATCACAAGCATTTGAAATAAATATGAAAATATTATATTCTCCAATAATTATAAGAAAATTAAAACGTCGAATAAAAATAAAATGTTTGAATAACTTTTTATTAATTTAAAAATTATAAATAGAAAAATTCAAGTTGATAACTTAATATTTTTTTTATTTTTTTAAAATTTTATTTTATTTTGCTATCTTAACTTTATATTAGTTTTTTAATAATCTATTTTAATGTTTAAATTTAAATTTATTATCTATGTCGGTGAGTTTGAGACTAATGATAACTAAATGCATTCTAAAATAAAATTTACTACTAGTAACTATAGAATTAATAATTTTGGTATACTGTTGATTATAAATAAGATAAACAACGTACATTTAATCATAGTTGTTAGTTTACAAATGAGTTTACGTAATACTGTAAAAGACTTAATATGACAGAAGAAACATCTGAATCAGAAAACAAAGATTGGACGTTTATAACGCCTGCTCTTATCAAAAATGCATATTTAGAACAACATTGTACCAAAGAAGAAATTCGTCTGATAGATTTGAAACCATATTTCAACTGGAGCATGATCACCGATTTGGATTTGAGTTTTTTGAAACTTACTCATATTGAAAACTTAAGTTTAATCACTAACGTAACACGTTTGAAAATGATTCAAAATAATATTAAGCGCATAGAAAACCTAGAAAAGCTCGTAAAAATAGAAAATCTTGACTTGGGGTTTAATGAAATTACTAAAATTGAAAATCTTGAATGTTTAACAGAGTTGAAGAACTTAAATTTGCAAGGAAATAAAATTTCAAAGTTGGAAAACTTAAATGGAAATTCAAAACTATCGTCGATTAATGTAGTCTATAATGAGATAAGCGATATTAACGAAATATTTTATTTGAAGCATTTAAAAAATTTACGAAGTTTGGAAGTGGCAAACAATCTATTTGGAACCAATTACAGGCCGATAATTATAGATCAATTTCCGGATTTAATGTTCATTGATTTTGAAAAAATAACGAACGTGGAACAGTCAACAGATAAATCATTGAAAAATGTTCAGGGTTCACAACATTTAAGAAATGTGAAATATTTCAGCTCCAAGCTCCACCGTGATTCTTTTTTGGACGAAACGGATGGTGAATATTTCGTTAAGTTTTTGTATCAAGGAGATGATGACGGTCAAATATTGAGTAAATGGGACTTAGCGGTGCGGACGGCTTTTGAAAAATATCAAGATGAAATGACCATAAATGCTATAGATTTGTGTGATGCATGTTTGAAAAAGTATGAGATATTGTATTATACAAAACAAAAAAAATAAATAAATATAAATTAATTAATTTTAAAATCAAACATAACTTTTAGTCTTGCAATCAGAGACAAAGTGATTTCAACGTTCAAGTCGACTCACTACAAATTTACCACGAAATGGGTTCAAAAATGTCGCAATAGTGTTGAAGAATTTGTAGAAATTAAAATGAGACTGAATGAGGAATTTATCGATAGTGATTCGTATCCAGATGACGGTTCAATTTTTATTTACAAAAAACTTGATACTTCAAATTATCATTTAATACCAATTATTAGACGACTAACAGACAACTTAAACTACATAAATATGAATATGAACATTTTCATCATAAACTTAATTAAAAAAGTTGAGGACGAACTAGAAAACGAAATTAAAATATTTTTGGAATCATTAACTCCAATATTTGTTAGTATGCGTGAAGTTGAAGATAATTATTCAAAAGTATTGTCTAGAAACGTGAAATCAGCAATGGGAAATCCGAACAGAGTTATACCAGATATGTACATACAGCACTTTAAAGACAAGTAAAATATAAAATCATTTTTGAAAAATATACTTAATAATCATAAATACAAACTAACAACAGTTGTTGCATGAAAGTAAATTAATTTAATAACCTAACTTAAAAGAGGTATTTCTTACCGGAACAATATTTATAATAATTATAGAAATTTATTTCATATTCGTTTGAAATCAAAACTATGAACTATGTATGTAATATATATATATAACTATTTATTTATTTATATATTAATTTTGAAGTATTAAATAATTTACTAATTTTTAATTTTAATTACATTTTTTATTTCATTATCTTTTATCGCTTACACGATATTTCTATGGATTTCAGAATTACATTAATGCAAGCGGCAAATAAAATTGCAGATTATCATTTGGATTTAATTTACAAACGAGAGGCAAAAATTATTAACGATTCAAAAACATGGTTGAAAATCATTGTAGAAGATTTGAAAAATTCCGAAAGAGATAGATACTGGATAGTATTCGAAGAAGTGAAAACACTTCGTGCAAACGAATTACAAAGTTTTAATATGATATATGATATATGATATACAAATATATGATCATATTATTTTCAACAATTATGTATTTATAATTGTTTTATAATAATAATGGAATTATTTTTATCAGTTAACATTTCATCACTGAAAAAAAATTAAAATAATTTCCATCACCATTCATTGGACGTATTCGATTACTATTTTTTTTTCTTTTATTATTATTATTATTATTATTATTATTATTATTATTATTATTATTATTAATATTATTTAATAAGAATAATTTCTAAAAATAATGCAAAATTGTCAGCATAAAATCTTGAAATAATCGCTCATTGTTTTTAAAAATTAAACAATTATTAGATTGTTCATTTTGATGAGATATGATGATAAATGCAATATTCCCATTCGAATTTTTAACATAATATTTCTAAATAGTGAATAACTTTTATATAACTTTTTTCGACATGTTTGTTAAGCGGTAACGACGATGTTAAATAGCAACACTATTACAACGGTTCGAAAACCGAGCACAAAGTTTGTAGATCACGTAAAATATTATTACCAACTTATTTATAAGTTTTTCTCTTGGGATTACGGAGGTAGGAGAGAATACATTTCTGGACAACTATAGAAGTCCGCAACGATGATGTACGCCGCGCTGCTTTGAGAAAATCGGCATGTTTAAACAACAATGAACAGCGTTTAACGATTAAAAGGGTTTCCACTGTTTGTTTTGTCCACGCTGTGTACCAGTTAATGTATTCATGTTTTTTACTATATACTAAATATTATAATACAAGTTGGAAATTATGCAATGTAAATTATACTGCTATTAACGGTAGTTCTATCCAAGATAATACATAGAATTTACAAATGGATTTTTAATTTTAAGTACAACTATCTATCATTCAAGTAACGATAAGATTAAATTAAAATAAATACATTTAATACTTCGATTGCGTTCTTCGACTATAATTATAACATCCATATTTTTAAAGTTATTTTAATAGAAGAGCAACGATAAAATGTTACTGATTTTATTAACCGAGTTATTAATTATTTTACCTCTAGTTTAGATAACGTTAAACTTAATACACTTTACCATTTGATGTGGACGGACCAACGAACAAGAGATAATCCAGAGGTTTTATACGAGCTCTAAATGTCATAGATTTGCATGTAACTCGTGAGCACATTTCTCAAACGTCGATCAACTGATTGCTTGGATGAAAGAAACATTCCTTAAACGTCCGAAACGGATTGTAGTTTTAAACGAAATATATCCTGACCTTACAAATCCACCAAGACCTAAATGTCACCACATACAAAATGGTTAACTAAATCAGTAATATACAATATAACGGGCAAATATTTAAATTTCATACAAAATGCGAAGAATTTAACGAAGACTATCAATAACAGCGTGATGAATAGGCAATATATCCATTGGTGAGAAATTCAAACAGTTGAGTGCCCACTGCAGTAAAGTGAAATTTTGAATTTACACTTGATTAAATAAAATGACGGTAAACGAGGTAATAAAATAGGTGTTTTGTTTCGATAATGTTATAAAATTACCGTTGTTATTTGTACTGTTCTTTATGTAAAAATAAAATTATTTATAAAGTACAATAATAAAAATAAAAAATGGGAAAATGTGAGGGTTAAATATACTCATATTTTGAAAAATGCAATCATGTTTTAACGTATTTTTTTTTTTTTTTTGATGTTTCAAATTAAATATTTATGATTATTTACTATATTTGTATGACTATTGTATTTTTTATTTGATACAACATTAATTATTATTGTTATGGATTTTAATGAAATTTAAAAATTTAAAATGTTAATTTTTTTTTCCGGGAATATGATATTTAGAGAAAAAAATAAAAATGAACACATCATAATTTACTATAGCAATAAACCACAAAACATAATTTTTCATCATGCATATATGTTACTGTGAATGTCACCTAGTGAATTTCGACGTACACCTACTAAGTTGATGAATGTTGAAAAATTAAAATAATATAAACTTGTACTAGTGGATGTTGACATTTACATTAGGACTTTAGTCAGTGTTGACATATGCTACGTATTCACACATAATATTATAGTATAGTAATATAAACAACAATATAAAATAAAAATGATATATTTAGTTATAAATATAAACAATTACTTTTATTAATTATAATTATTATTAGAGCGCGGATTTATATGCCTTAAAAATCTACTAAATATGCGTTAAAAAAATCTTAAATATGCATTAATATATGCACTAAAATGTTTAAATATGCATGCATAAAAAAAAAATACGCACCAAAAATTACATGTATTTTCCATAAAATAATAATAAATTATTATTATAATAATTAATTTAAATGATAACATTTGTTGTAAAAATAATTTTTTTTAATTTCTTGATTCTTGATTTCCTGTCAATTTTTTTGAGTTTTAATCTATAAGAAAAAATCAGAATCAATAATATTAAAAATGTATCTCAAAAGAAATTTACTTAGGTACCTACCTACATTTGAATTGCAATTATTTTAGCAATATTTTCAAATAACATTGATCTACGTTTGTCAGTCAATAAATTTTTATACCTCGAAAATGACCGCTCTACATCTGTTGAAGTGATTGGTGCGTATTTAAAAAATGTCAAATAATTTGGAGATAAATCTTCGCCGAGTTCAATTGATTCACTTTCTCCATTTAAAATGTTTGATATTTTACTTAGTGTATCGAAGCCTTCGTTTTTTGATAGAATTTTTTTAAATTTTTCATAAACAGATTTACCCTTTTGTCCGTTACATTTTTGAAGAGATATTTTTGTGTTTTCAATCAAAGTGAAAGCATCATTCAAAGGAACTCCCGATTTTTCTATACATTTAATTTTTTCGGGTAAAAATCCAAAATTAGATTTTATATATATTAAATTCACATCCAATGATTTGTCCGCTAAAAAATCTTGGGCCATTTGTATTGAAATTGCATCATCTGGGTTTAACTGCTTGACAATACTACGAATTTGTTCTAAGTTTTCACAAAGTATATAGCAGCGTTTAGCCATGTCCCCCAACGAGTGATGACCGGTTCTGGCGGTAGAGGCAGACCAGGTGCTTCATTTTTAAAAAAAGCAACGCGATAAGATTTTAAAAAAATTTTCTTAACATTTGATATAAGTTTGTCCACATTCGGGAAACATTTCCTTACTTCTTCAGCTGTAAGATGTAATCCATGAGCTAAGCAAGTAATATGGAGTATTTTAGAGTAAAATGCCTTGATTGCACCGGCTGCTTTTACCATATACGGCGCAGCATCACTCAAAAATAACAGTACAGAATCATGTTGTATACCTTCAGGCCACAATAAATTTAGAGATTTTTCAAATAGCTTTGAAATAGTGGATTAATTTGCCTTATTCAAAACTTCAGAATTTAATAACATCGTTGTACCTGGACCATCAGATTCTAATGTTCCGATGATGACATTGGCGACATATCTGTCAATTAATATCTGTAGTTTCGTCTATTGACAACCACACCTTTTTTCCTTCGACTTTATTACGAATTTTATTCATTGTTTCAATATAACAATCATTTAAATAATTTTTACGAATTGTTGATTCATCGGGTATTTTTTTGAGAGTATATTTTTCCAAAAATGATTTGAAATGTGTATCGTTAAGTTTTTTTAGCGGAATATTTGCCGAAACCAGTGCTTTGCATAAATCTACACAAAATGGATTTTTATTCAATACAGTATTAATGAGTAAACTTTGAACATTTTGTTTTTTAGTCTGGCTCAAACTTACAGATTTTAAATGCTTTTCAGTTTTAATATGTTGTGTAATTGAATATCGTTTACCGTGGCCAACTTTTACTTCACATAATTTGCACAGTATTACTTGACCATCGGTTGAAAAAATATTCTCGCCAAATTCACGCACATAACTACGAAGACAACTCGATAAAGACGATTTTTCTTTCGGCATCTTGAAAAAATATAATACACAAAAACTCGCACTACGACAGACACGAACACACGGTTGATACTAAATATTTTTACAGAATGAAATAATATTATTGGTCTGATACCGAAACTGATATTTTCTGAGTATTCGTATATATTATTTGATTATTTCACCGATAAAGATAATTAATCTAAGAGCCGAGACTCTACATACAATAAAATGAAATATGACACACCAGACCGATTAACGGGATTTCCCATAAAATCTGAGAGCGATAAGATTTTCTTCGTAAAAGATATTTATTTATATATTTTTTTGTAACAGTTATTAGTTTATTACTTTAAAAATGTTTAAAAATCAAACTAACACTAAAATATGCACTCTAAGATGAAATATGCAATTAAAATTGTTAAATAAGCTCTTAAAAATTAAAAACGACAAAATATGCAAAATATGCACTAAAAAAATGTCATTGTTTAAATCGTTATGCCAAGAAACAAATTTCGTGCTCACTTGGTACAATAAACCAAAAATACATATGCCATTGCATACAAATCCGTGTTCTAATTATTATTATTGAAAAATATTATACGTGTATAATTAATTTAAATTATAATTATTTTTCTATACAAAAATGATTATTTAAAAAAAACGGCGAAAATTGTTCTACTTATTGCAGCATGAAAATATACAATATATTCAAAATTTCATACCACTTTAATCGTCGATAGTCTTTACGTTGTTTATTAGATTTATCTTTCAAAATGTTCACTTCACTTATTAAAAGTTTATATTTTTCAGCCGATAGAAAAAAAGAATTACCATGTCTCTTTTTAGATACTAAATTATTAAATTTATTATAAAATACTTCACGTAAGTTTTCCATTAAAAAAAAAAAAAAATGTTTTGGTTACTGTGCAAATCATTATAGTACGATAACACTATAACTATGTTGAATGACAATATCGTACTAAATGTGAACGAAGCAGTATATGGCATGGTGGTTATCCAGATATAATAAGTCACAGGGTAAGACAATAAATCATTTTATCGAAATTATCAACTT